GGGGGGGGGAGTGAGCAGTAGACAATAAAGTGGTCCACCTGGGTAGGCAAAATAGAGGCTCTTGGCAACTTACCCTGTTTTCCATTGCTATGAGAAAATAACTGAGGTTGGGACAATATAAAGTAAAGAGGTTTATTTTGATCACAGTTTTAGAGGCTGACAGTTCAAGACCAGCAGTGCTAGTTATTCAGCCTCTGGTGACAGCTTCCTTAGCTGTGTCACTTCATGGTAGAAGAGGAGAAAGTGAACCTGCAACATGCAAAAGGGTGCAAGCATGTGAGTTGGCACTTCTTTCTCACAATCCACTTTTTCAAGAACTAGCTCTTTCTGAAAGACCAGCATTAACCCATTCTAAGGATGCTGCCCACATGATCTAAACACCTTCCACTAGACGCCACCTTTCAATGGCTCTGCCTCCTCTCAACATGGCCACAGAGGGGACCAGGCCCCCAACATATAAACCTGTGGGGGACTCACTCAAACCATATCCAAACCACACACATGAAACAGGCAAGAAGAGAGAGGTAACTTGTCCAGATAGAAGACTGAATGCTAAGTTTGGTGATCTCCTGAAACAACCAGCATGGGTCTCTCAGACACATCATGTGTGAAGCCTGGAGCTTGAGCTTGGTGACATCCAGCTCAACTCCAAGCTGCTTGACTCACCAGTCTGGGGTGTGCAGACCTGCATCTCAGAATACTCTCTGGAGGCTTTAGTTTGTGGTTCAGGAAGACTAGGCCTGCTCTCCTAGGCAGCTGTGGGGTCTGGAAGGTGGCTGTGTGAACTTTAGTCCAAATGTGGGTGTTACCAAGATTAAGGATGCAGCACCAGTCAAAAGTCAAGGTTCCGAAAGCTCACTGTCTGCATTAGAAGACTGAAGACTGAAGACTGAAGAAGCTGGAGACTGATTTCCAAAGGCAATGGTGAAGACTGGAGCTCTCCTAAAACAAGGGCCCTTCTTCTTTCCCTTTTTAACTGTCCAGGCTACAAGCTTACTGGTTGATGCTAACACATCTGGAGTGGGTCTTTCCTGCTCAGTTTGCTGGCCTACATGCCAGTCATCCATAGACACACCCAGAACTGTGCTTCCCTAATCTGCTAGGCATTTACTACTCTAGCAATTGACGGATGTACTACAGTTAAGGGCTGTAAGTAGGTCAAAATTCATTTGGTCAAGGGTAGAAGAACAAAGACAACCTACAACTCTTCACACTTGGATTTTACAATCAACTTTCTACAATTTCATAAAAATGCTTAAAATTTCTAGTCAAGCCTGCGGTTGATGCTACAATGATGTGAGAGTTTTTTGAGTCTTAGGGATGGTTCTGGGTATTTTTCATATCAGAAGAAAATAAATAATTTTGGACCACGTGTAGTTTTTCACTAGCGTTGTTGTGGCAGAGCTGAGCAGCTTTGTGCTATAGTCGTGTTGCAGTTCAGTGTCACAGCTAGGTGCCACATCTCAGAGGCACAGCTGAGCTTTGTAGTTCAGTGTGGCAGCTCTGGGCCTCAAATTCACAGAAATTCTCCTTCCTCAGCCTCCCATGTACTGGATTACAGGTGGGCACCACCACACCTAGAATTGCCCATTCTTCCTTGCAGCAGATGTTTCAGTTTTCTTGCAGAAAAAGCTTGGGGCAAAGTGAGATCCTTTATGGATTGTGCTTTGGTTAAAGTTCAGATCCCCTGCCTCATTGTTGAGGTTTCTTAGATGTCCAAGTAGGAATCATTTCCCCTGAGAAGTCGTTCTTGATCCTCAGACAAGATCAGGTCCCCACTATATGCTTTTTTTTGGACACAAGGTCTCACTATGTAGCCCAAGATGGGCTTGAACTCCTGGCAAGGTCCAGGCACCTGTGACCTTGGACCTCTAGGTATAAAACAGAAAAAGCTATGGTCTTTGTAAATTACTCACTCTTGGGCATTCTGTGAGGTATTTGAACTTTATGTTGAAAGAAGCGAATGTAACCGAAACTTGCTTTTGTGTCGTTTCTTCCACTCAACATTATGTCTGTGAATTTCATCTAGATTATTGGTTAGAGCTCTAGTGGCCTCCTTTTAATTGTTGCATAGTATGCCATTGTGTAACTTTCAGTATTTATTCCACATGTTGATGATCATTTTACTAAGAAAGCTTATTGAATATTCTGGTTGCTTTTTATTTTCTTGGTGAATGAGTATATATTTTTGTACAGCAAATATTTGGTTGTGAAGTTACTGACTATGCCTGTGTTTAGCTTCAATAAATACAGCTGGCATTGTATACCTGTGAGTTCTACATCAGCTTGGGATTAAAAATACTTGAAAAACATTAAGCTTGTATTGAACATGTACAGACAATTTTCTAGCCATTAATTCCTAAACCACATAGTACAACAACTTCTCATATAGCTTTCTCATTTTATTATATAAAAGTAATCTAGAGATGGTTTCAAGTATGCAAAAGAATAGGTTATGCACAAATACTATCAGGGATTTTTGTATCCAGGGGAGCCCTGAGATCCACTCCTCACAGATGCTGAGGGGTGCCTGTCCTGTCTAGCCATTTGTCAAGGGGCAGTATTGATCAGAGTTTTCAAATTTCATGATCAGGGCTAGAGGGCTGTAACTTTCCCTTCCCTTCTAACAAGACGGTGAGGCAGAATTGTTCTCCCAGGAAATGACTTAGGATCACAATGCAGATGGAATATAGGGCACAAGGATTCTTTCAGTTGACATACCAGGGAGATCTGCCCTGACTCAAGGGTACAGCTTAAGATGAGATAAGCAATATTCAACCAGCTGTACTGCTTAGGGCCCAACCACTAGGAGCAGAGCCTGGCCAGGTCATCGGTTAACTCTTTAGTTGTTAGGGCCTGGCAAGGAAGCAAGGCAACTGAGGAACAACCAAGGGTCCTGGGGGTGGCATTTAATGGCCTATTTAAGCATTTTAATTGTTTAACAACTGTATGAATACTGACTAATAGCGACCCTGGCATGGGTATGCTTGGCAGCTCCGAGAGAAATATGGAGATGTCTTCACTGTGTACCTGGGACCAAGGCCCGTGGTCATGCTGTGTGGGGCAGACACCATACGGGAGGCCCTGGTGGACCAAGCTGAGGCTTTCTCTGGCCGGGGGAGAATTGCTTCTGTGGATGCTGTCTTCCAGGGATATGGTGAGCATCTCAAAGGCACTGGGATGGGGCAGGATGGAGGATGGGACATGGAGAAGTTGAGTGTAAGATAGGAGGAATAATGTAAGGAGGGATCCCACCTTCTTGTACTTCCCATGGATCCCTTGCTGCCTTACAACTATTAGGTGTGATCTTTGCCAATGGGGAACGCTGGAAGGTCCTTCGGAGATTCTCTTTGGCCACCATGAGAGACTTTGGGATGGGAAAGCGGAGTGTGGAGGAGCGGATTCAGGAGGAGGCTCAGTGTCTGGTGGAGGAGCTGCGGAAATCCCAGGGTGAGTCTTGAGGCATGGTGTGGGTAGAAAAGAAAGACAAACATACAGAGAGAGGGGTAGGGTGCACAGCAATAGAAACACAGAGAGGTACACATAGGCAGGGAAAGGTAGAAATAGAGACAGAGTGATAAGGACAGAAAGAGATGGAATAGAAGTGAACAGAGACAAGCAGCAGAGCAACACAGATAGACAGGGAAGGAACCGTGAGGTTTACAGTGTCCAAGAACAACTCAGAGAAAGAGGCTGAGTGACTGATGCTATTCATTTGTGTCCAGGGAAATCAATTCATGGGTTAATTGTATGCATCAAAAGCAAAGAGAAGCCTTATGCAAAAGAAAGCAAAGGGAGGGCCCTGGATTTAGCTCAGTGGTTTTGCCACCTGCTGGGCAAGCGCAAAGACCTGAGTTCGATCCCTGGTACAAAAAAAAAAAAGCAAAGGGAAAAGAAGGAAGAGCAGATGTCAAAACAGTGAACTGTGTTTTCCTTCTCTCAGTGAAGTGCAGATGAGCAGGCAGTGAGGAACGAGGCCGGTGAGCACTCTGCTCTTGGGGAGCATTTTCAGTCCTTTTTGGATCCTCTGTGACAGGGATGTAGGGGTGACTGTGCTCCTTGTTAGCACCTCCTTGGTCAGCATCCTTTCATTCATGTCTGGTCTTCACCATGTCTGGAGAGTCTGAAGCTGGGGACAGAGAGCAATTGGAACAGAGAGACTGAGAAGAAAGCCAGAGGGAGGCAGAGTGAATGGAGACAGAGATGGGGAAAGAGGAAGAGATGGACATGGAGGGAGCAAAAGGAAGAAAAAGAGAAACAAGAGAATGGAAGAGACTCAGAGTGGCAGAAAATACAAGAAAAACTGAGACAGAAACTTGGAGCAACAGATGAACAAGTCTCTGGCAAAGGTCTGCAAAGCAATGACAGTAGACAGATGAGACAGACAGAGAGAGAGAGAGAGAGAGAGAGAGAGAGAGAGAGAGAGAGAGACCTATCCAATATTCTAAGGCTCAGAGCCTCCGTCCTTCTCACCCAAGCCCTGAAGGAGGGACAAGAGGTGAAGGGGAGTGACAGATAGGAATGAAGTGATGAAGTGATCAGGGCTTTCAAATTTGCACATGCTATTGATTGGATACTGCTGCACCCCCTCAGCCATGAGGTTTAACTTTATGCCCTTACAGAGTGGAAGTTGGGGCCCGGGGTGAGATTCAAGGTAGGGACCTACTGCCCTGGCTCTGTGTCTGGGCTGCCTGGTCTGAATCCTGACCCCAGTAATGAGTAGCTGTGTCAGCTTGGTCAAATAATTTAACCATTAATCATTCATCCATCTGTAAAGTAGGGGTAATAATAGAACGATGTCTTCCTCACAATGTTGTGGAGGAAATTAAGTTAAAATAACACATGAATTGCACAGAATACAGCCTGGTATATAGTATAGGCCACTGAGTGTCAGCATTTATTGCTATTCTTATGTTTTATTACTGAGCCATGGCAGTCACTGAGACAGGGCCTCAGCCAAATGCTCCCTGGGATAATGAGTCTGTGCCCTGTGAACTGCTGCTTTTCCCCCTAGGAGGCCTTGTGGACCCCTTGTTCCTCCTCCAATCTATCACTGCCAACATCATCTGCTCCATTGTCTTTGGCAAACGCTTTGACTACAAAGATCGCCAGTTCTTGAGGCTGCTGGACCTGTTCTATCAGTCCTTTGCACTCGCCAGCTCCTTTTCCAGCCAGGTCAGAGGAGGGAACAAGAAGGTGGGCTGAAGGGAGCAGCCAGGGGATGCGGGGATGATGGCCTGCTTTGCGGAGCTCAGAGATGCACTTCAGGCTGGAAGAGGGGTGGAGACACCACAGAGGGTCAAGGACACTGAGAACTGACATGAGGGACAGATAGTGAACAGGGATCAAGAACCTGAGAAAAAGAAAAGGGAGTGAATGAAGTGCAGAAATAAAGTGGGAGAGAGAAAAAAAATGAAGGCTTGGAGATGAGAGAAGGGAGGAAAAGAGAGAAGACAGAGAAAAGAAAATAAAAGATAGAGATGGATTCTGGTAGCCAAAAGGTTGTGTGTGTGTGTGCGTGTGTGTGTGTGCATGTGTGTGTAGCCTGTATGAAACAGCATGAGGGAGGTAGTCTCAGAGGATAGAGAGAAGGAGGAGTAGTGATTTCCCATGCAGGTCTGGGGCTCAGGACAGCTTCCCCGTCCTCTGATCTGCTAACTGAGCCCGAGGTGGGCCTCTCTGCTCCTTCTTTCTTGTAGGTGTTTGAGCTCTACTCCAGCCTCCTGAAACACTTTCCTGGCACACACAGGAAAATTTACAAGAATTTGCAGGAAATCAATGCCTTCATTGGCCACAGTGTGGAGAAACACCGTGAAACCCTGGACCCCAGCGCCCCCAGAGACTTCATCGATACCTACCTGCTCCGCATGGAGAAAGTGAGATCTGGGAGAGGGGAAGGGATAGGAGGGGAGGAGGGAGAGGTGAGCAGAAGGAAAGGAAAAAACTAGGAGAGGAGAAGAGGGGAAGGAAAACAGAGGTCAGGGGAGAATGAATAGGGAAAGGAAGCAAGGAGAAGCAGAAGCTATAGGAAGATAAAGTGGAAGGAAGGAGAAACTGAAATGGGGAGGGAAAGAGAGAAGTGGCAGGAATTGGTGGAGGGAAAAAGTCGGGCAAAAGGACAAAAAGTAATAAGAGAAAAGACCCACAGTGGCAGAGAGAGAACGGGGAGACCAAAAGTGAGAAAGAAGCCAAAGAGAAGAAAAGAGGTGGAAACAGAGCCACGTGGAATTAAGAAAAGCTGAGGGAGGGAAAACCAAGAGAGGGAGGGAAAACCAAGAGAGGGAGGGAGGGAGGGAAGGGGGTGGGGGGGGGCAGAGGCCAAGGACAGAGATGTGCAAAGCAGCCAGAAACCTGAGTCACAGAAATAGAGGGAGGGCACTCAGAGGGACAGGTGACCCTTCTGCAGCAAGGCTGTGGTCTGCCCTGACCCTCTCCTCTCTCCTCTCTCTGGACCTAGGACAAGTCTGACCCGCACACTGAGTTCCACCACAGGAACCTCGTCCTGACCTCGCTTTCACTCTTCTTTGCTGGCACGGAGACCACCAGCACAACTCTCCGCTATGGCTTCCTGTTTCTGCTCAAATACCCCCACGTCGCAGGTGGGTGAGGGACGGGCAGTTGGGAAGGTCTTGTGACCCCCTTTTCAGAGGTGGGGTGCAAGGACCCCATGGATGAGAGGCAACACTGGCCACTTATGCCAGGAGCTCTACAGGCTTCGGACTAGCTCTCACCTAAGCCAGTCCTGGGGATACACAGGTGAATGAAAAGTCTGTTGACTTGTTTTTCCACCTCTTTCACCCACCACACTTAAAAATTGAACCATCCTTCCACCCATCCGTTTATTAATTCACCTGTATACTTATTGATTCTTTCATGTATGATTCATCTAAGAACATGTAGTTTCATTCATTTATTTTGATTAATTGATTCATGAGGTGATCCTTTGAGCACTCTAGTTCAATGAACTAGATGTCACAGATTCATTGGCTCATTAAATTATGGTTCATAGGCTCCCTAAATTATGCATCTATCCATCAATCTATCACTGAACTAGATTTTTTTCCCCCGTAATCAGCAGTCTCAATTTATGCTTCATTTATCCATTGTAGGGAATGGGGAAGTGGATGTTACCAGGACCTCTGCCATGGGTCTTGGTCTGTGAGCCACCACAGCACAAGGTGAATTCAAGAACAGGCAGAAAAGAGACCTAGAGTGGAGAAGCTGAGTCTTGGGTCCTGGTCAGTGCTGCTGATGGCAGCAATAGGCCCCCAAGCACATCCAGTATTTATTGAATAAAATCATGGGAAGCAATAGGGAGCAGGGTATGCTTTGAAGGCATCTAGTGAAATACTGCCGAACACCTGGGATGATGGTGCCAGGCAGGGCTCTTAGGGAGTAGGCACTGCTTATCAGGCTTGGATAGAACAATTCTGTACTGGAGTTAGGTGCAATTAGCAAAAAACCCATCAGATCAGTGAGAGAGGATAATTGTTTTTTCGTTTCTTTTCTTTTTTGTATTAAATTCTTTTATTGGTACATTGTAGGTATACAACACAATCACATTTCACATTGGGAATTGTACCTTTATATAATGCATTTTGGTTCTTATTTTTTCCCCATTCCTAGCCCTCCCTTCACACTCTCCACCCTTCCCTATTTACAAAGACTTTATTTCCACTTTTTCCATTTCTCATCATTTTTTTCCTTTCCCTTCTTTCCTTTCCCCTGCCACTCCCACTACCCCTACCCTTTTGGACCTTTTCTTCCTATTTTACATTTTCGATTATTCATTCTAATCATTGGTACATTTTAGGTATACAACATAATGACATTCATCATTG